TAATCCGGAAAGTCAAAGTTGTGCTCCATACCCCCCATGCTCTGCCCATTCAGGGAGAAGGCCCTGTGAACATGAGGACAGATCTGGGCGATGCTTCTACAAGCCAAGGAATGCCAAGACGGCCAGCAAATGACCAGAAGCTAGGAAAGCAGCATGGGCAGATCTTTATCCAGCCCTCAGAAGGAACAAACCCTGCTCAAACCTTTATCTCAGATTTCTAGCCTCCAGAACTGTGAGATAATAAATATCTGTGGTTTAGGCAGTGTAGAGGGGGAGGCAGAAAGTATCTAAAATCAATAATCTTAAAAGAATTTGTTACTAAGTACATACCAGTTTTTGGATTGAAATTCACTTGGAAACATTTAAATCCAGAAAGACCCATTTACTGAAGCTATTTCTGCTAAAGTAGCAAGTCTACTGTGCTTTATAACTGGCAGTTTCATGGCTTACAGAACCACCTCCCCAAGGTAGATTCCTAGATTCAAGGTCCAAGGAACCTTACTTTCTTTTGTAGTCTTTTTCATTTTGAAATTGATTAGAGTGAAGAAAATTTTTTTAAAAAAAACCAAACAAACCAGAAAACACCAGTGAATAGAACTACTGTAGCTGGCTAGCCAATCGGCAGTTATGAAATGTATAGTTTTGATCAAACTGTATATAAACAACCTAAAAATATGTAAACCTGGCTCTACAAACTTCCAATTGTTTGTATCTCCCTTATCATTCCAATCAAATCCAACACACATAACAAGAATTCAAATATACTGTATTATCCTTGAACTTAACAGTTTGCTAACCAGAATGCTTAAAGCAGGATTTTGGGTCTATCTTTCAGACTATATGAAAATTGATTCTGGATCTTATTTTTATTTAGCTGATATTTACAATCCTTAATGACATCATTATTTTAGTTACCAATAATTTGCAGATTTTTTATTATTTACATGGGCAGACCATCCTACCAGTAAATAATATAGTATATTTCTTTTTAAGACAACATCTCAAAAATTTTGGTCTACAATTACCTTAAGCAGATATGTAGTTGGAAAAGGAAGTATTTTAATAGTTTTTTCAGATAATTGTGGATATTCTTTGATACTGCACTAAAACTTGGTAAGTGATTGTTTCTTAATGATTAGTTACAAGGACTCCAGTCCTGAAGTCTTCAGGTCCTGGAGTGGTCCACAACCACACTTTGAAAATGGCTGCTGTGCCCAGCCAGTGTGGCTCAGTGGTTGAGCATTGACCTGTGAACCAGGAGAATACGGTTCAATTCCCCAAACATGCCTGGGTTGCAAGCTCGACCCCACTAGGGGTCGTGCAGGAGGCAGGTGATGGATAATTCTCTCTCATCACTGATGTTTGTTTCTTTCTCTATCTCTCTCCCTCTCTTCCCCTTACTCTCTGAAATCAATAGAAATATATTTTAAAAAAAGGAAAATGGCTGTTGTTTTAAACCATTAACTCTATGTGATCACAAAAGTGACTAAAAAGCGACTAATTACCGAATTACCGAAAAGGCCGATGCATATGAATATGGGAAAGGGTGGTAAGAGATGGTACATAATGGACTAAGCCTTAAGTCTATTTAAACTACATACATATGTATTTTAATAGTTTGATAAAAATTGTAAAGATTTGTATAACTGCTATTATAAAACAAAGTAACTAATATTTCCTTTCCTTTAAGAATTCCCTGTAGTCCTCCTCACATCTTCTTATCGTCCTAAATACCATATGTATTCCTAAAGAGTATTTTCTACCCAAGCCACGAATTTGTTCCAAGTTTTTCCCAACCATAAAGCTCATAATACGTACTTGTCAAGAGCTCTAAGCACCATGAAACAGATGAAAACTAACATTTGTAACTGTCCTCATTTCTGCTGTGATCTAGAAAAGGACACTCTGTTTCAAGTAAATATATCATGTGCCAAAGGACAGGTGATGAAATGAAGGGTGTTTGTTAGATCTCAGAGCCCTTTCACCACCTAAAACAAGACAGACAGGTTTCAGAGGAGGAGGTGGAGGGTTTCTCCAACATAAGCTACTAATACCCCCCAATTCCTAGCCTTTCTACCACCTCTGTCCACTGCAGTCTTCTGTACAGATTGTTAAAGTATGACACTTTTCTTTTTTTCTACCTTGTGAACAGCTTTCTATGCAGGACCTTTGCTAAATATTAGCTACTTTTGCTTAGATGAGCAAAGCCAATTTGCCAATAAATTGGAGATATGTGGGCATAAAGACCCAACACTGAGAAAGATTACCAAAGGATGAAATTTAGTGCCACCGTCAAATGGCATGTATCAGAAATACTCCTGGCTTGTTTAATGAAATGGTTAAGTTTTCCTACAGGGCATCACTTTTATATCAATACTAGAGGCCCGGTGCACAAAATTCATGCACGGGGGAGGGAGGGTCCCCTCAGCCCAGCCTGCACTCTCCAATCCGGGAACCCTCGGACATCCCTCTCACAATCCAGGACCACTGGCTCCTAACTGCTCACCTACCTGCCTGCCTGATCGCCCCTAACTGCTCCCCCCTGATCACCCCTAACCGCCTCTGCCTGCCGGCCTGATTACCCCTGATCACACCACGCAGCCTGCTGTTCAGTTGTTTGGTCATACCTCACTAACCCCCCTGCCGGTCTTGTTGCCCCAGGCAGCCTGCTGGTCGTTACTGTTACTGTGATGGCGTCCTGGACAATTTGCATATTCCTCTATTATTAGTATAGACTAGTGGCCCAGTGCATGGATTTGTGCACATTGAAAGGAAATTAATTAGAAGAAATATTTTAATATCAACAACATAACCCACAGCCGAAGGTGGAATAGCGCGGCCCTGCGAGTAATTGGGTTTCCTCCTCTCTGGTTCTGGGGTGCATCACCTGAGAACCGCGGCTGCCAAGTCACCATAGCTCGGCAACTCCTATGTTGACTGCCCCTGGTGATCAGTGTGTGACATATGTACTGGCTGGTCGGACGGTCACTTAGCTTTTTGTATATATATCAATATATCAGTAGTTAGAGCTGCTTCTGCTATTCATGAACAAAGCCAGGCAAGCTATTTCAATGAATGACAAACATGGGAGACTTTGGCTATTTACAACTAAATTCCATAAAAAAATAAAGAATGCCCAAGGCTTAATAGGTAAGTAAGAATTACGTTTATATTTCTGTTTGATGCACAATTCCAATGAATTTATATTATCTTTAATACTCTACAATAGCACTATATGTTGCTATTGTGACCCACATTTTACATATGTCAATCCTAATTTTCTTGTTTTAGAAATGAAGATTAAAGTTTTATACGTAGTATAGAGAAATGATGAAGCTGATCATATTTACAAATAGTCAAACTAATATGCAAACTTAAGGTAGTGAAAATATATATGCACGTGTGTGTGTGTATATGTATATATATTTATTTAATCCTCTTTTGTCAATCTCAGCCAGTCATGTTCAATAATAAGAATCCGTAACAAACATTTAAAAATTATATATATATATATATATATATATATATATATTGATTAATTTAGGAGAGGAAGAGAGAGATAGAAACATTGAGAAAGAGAGAGACATCAATGATGACAGAGAATCATTGATCAGCTGCCTCCTGCATGTCCCACAATGGGGATCCAGCCAACGTGTGGACATATGCCCTAACCAGGAATTGAATCATGACCTCCTGGTTCATAGGTCGATGCTCAACCACTAAGCCATGCCAGCCAGACTGTAACAAACACTCTTAATTCTTGTAAAACAATGATTTTTGGCATCTATTCATTCAAATATGATTTTATACAGAGGCATAGAAGGGAGAAGTATGGTCCCAATAATATGCAGAAACTCTCAATTCAGGTTCTGGTTTTCCTGATGAGGGTTAGTTTTAATATTTATTAATGTCTCAAATTCCAACAAAAATATTTCTCCTGCCCTGGCTGGTGTGGCTCAATGGTAGAGCATTGGCCTATGCACTGAAGGGTTGTGGGTTTGATTCCTGATCAAGGGCACGTACCTGGGTTGTGTTCCCCAACCTTGGTCAGGATGTCTGTGGGAGGCAGCCAATTAATCTCTCTCACATCGATTTTTCTCTTTCTCACTTTCCCCCCCTTCCATTCTCTCTAAAAATCAACAGAAAAAGTATTCTCAGGTGAGGATTAACAATATATATATATATATTTTTTTTTCTCCCTTTAGTAATTCAACTTGAAGATCATGATTTCATGAAAAATTATGAAATACCTGTTAAAATGTTTATTATAAAGAAATTTGAAGAAACTAGCAACTATTTTTACTTCAGCTGACAATCGTCAAAACTCTGAGAACAGAGTTTAGTGATGAAACCCAAGTTAGCATCTTTTATTACTAGGGTTACAGCCCCTTATCTCAGAGTAAGTAAACTTAAGGGAAAATAGCATGAAAAACATAAATCTCCAGTTTAACTTTGCTCCTAGTGAATTAGGACTGAGAGAGAGAGAGAGAGAGAGAGAGAGAGAGAGAGAGAGAGAGAGAGAGAGAGAGAAGGAAGTCCAAGAGCTATTAAACACAACACCCAAGATGAAAAGTAATATTCTTTTTTTTTTTAATTCTATTTTTTTTAAAATATATTTTATTGATTTTTTACAGAGAGGAAGGGAGAGAGATAGAGAGTTAGAAACATCGATGAGAGAGAAACATCGACCAGCTGCCTCCTGCACATCTCCCACTGGGGATGTGCCCGCAACCCAGGTACATGCCCTTGACCGGAATCGAACCTGGGACCTTTCAGTCCGCAGGCTGACGCTCTATCCACTGAGCCAAACCGGTTTCGGCGAAAAGTAATATTCTTACAGTAGCAGATTAATTATCTATTTTTGTCTAGAAGTTGGAAGGTATGCACGGCAATTCCAGGTTATATTCTGGAATACCTGTATCGTATTTGTTTTCGACAAAAATATATTGCACAAATCAAGACCTAAGTGGGCCATTTCAAATTATGAATACATGACCTACCTTGTTCCAGAATCTGAAGAAACAGAGTGGCTGGATTAAATTGACAAATAGATGTGTTGTTAGGATTGTGCTCTTTATATTACTTCGAGTATAAATGAGTATTTGAATATAACAGGTGGTATTTCTGCTAGAATCTACTTCTCTTCCAGTATTCTGAAGCCTAATGGGGAAAATAAGAAGATTATAATTCATTAAAAGATGAAACAACAAAGAAAGCCTTTTATTTTCTTGCAAAAATCTGAGTTAAACTATTCACTCATAGAAAAAATTAACTCTATACTTAGTTTAACATAAAAAACATCTTAAGTTTTGAGGACTAGAGACAACATATAATATACATTTTATAAATACACTAGAGGCCCAATGCACGTACGGGTGGGGTCCGGGTGGGGTCCGGCTGGCCTGGCCCCAATCAGCGGGTTGGGGCTGGGCCTGTTGGGAGGAGGAGACAGGGTGATCAGGGCCCCGGATGGCTGGGGGGAGGGGCTGCGGGTGGGT